GCTTCAGTTTCGTATATAATAGAATCGTCGTATTATTATTTTAAAATTTTGTTATTAGGGTGTTTTCGAATTAATTTATATATATATATTTTTTACTAATAATCTTAAGGATACATTCTTATAATTCACGTTGATTTAGTTTATTTAAAAAATTAATTTTTTATATTATTGTCGTATCATATTAACATTGGTTTGTTCCTCTTCCATGTGTAATTTGTTCTGTTTTTATTTTTATTTTTATTTTTATTTTTTTATCTAAATGCAATTGTTGGGGTTGGGTCGCTGGGATGGGTTAGTGGGAAATAAACCCAGCACATGAGCTGAAAAATGATGCGCTCTAAATCAAATGATCTATGAGCCCAAGTCCAATAAGATAAATTACCCTTATGTCAAAATCCCCACATTTTTTTATCATCATCAGCATTAAGACGTATCCTTCGATCACAATCCATTTACTAAATTAAACATTAAACTAAACAAAAAGCAATGATTACATGTCTTGTACGCCAAAAATAAATGAAGCTGAAAACATGTCTCAACGTCTAATGAAAGTCATTCAAACTCTTGAAATTTAAATCAATCAATTAAGGAATGCATAACCTTTTTTCCCTTTTTTTTTTTTTAGACGATTTGGACGGTGAAGTGGACTGCCAGAGAGCATCCGATTTTAGTATTGATTAAAACCCAATAAACGTTGATCTAGTGGGGCCTATTAAGACCAAAAAGTGATCAACGTTAGGGAACAACTTGATGAGACAATAAGACCTGGTCTCTCCCTCATTGGAGCTAGCTGGGAAGGGTCCCAATGATAATATAAAAAAATTTAGATATAATTTAAAGGAACAGAAAAATTATTGGACTGTGTCATAAATTGATATCTATTTTCGGAATATTTATGAACAGACAAAATTTCCCTTCATTGGATTAATATTTTTTTTCAGCCCAAAATTTATTAAAATTTCGATCGATTTTTCTATTCTTACTTCTTTTCTTTTCTTTTTTTTATTTACTATCATTGTTCTCTTCTTATTTTGTTTCAACTTTGAATTGAATATTTAAAATATTTTTATTTAGCTGCACCTGCAATTGAATTTCTATGCTTATTTCTTGTATTAGTGTTGGATAAAAATACTAAACATAACTCATCATATGGAGACTTTTTTAAATAATTTTTTTTCAAGAAGAGTGCTATGTGCATCGATGTGAGCCAAATGCACAA